CGGCGGCGGCCTCGGCGGCCTCGGCCTCGACAGCCGCGGCGGTCTCAGCCGCGGCCACAGCCACAGCGGCGGTGGCCGTGGACGCCACCGACAGCGCCACATCATGCACCGAGGCCTCCGGCTGCTGGGCCACGGCCACCACAGCCGGCTCGGCGACCGGGTCGGCGGCCACGGCCGCAAATTCGACCGGCACCGACACCGGCGCCCGGTCGGCCTCCGAACGGGGATCATCATCGGTGGCCACCAGCAACGACTCGGATGCCGCGCCAAAGCCACCGGCCATCTCGGCCGCGGTGACCAGAGCCGGCGCCGCGTCAGCGGCCGGCACATCGCCGGCGTCGGGCGCCGACTCGGGCGCCGCCTCTTCCAGGATCAGGGCCACCTGCTGCGGCTCGTCGGCCGAAGGGGTGGGCACCGGCTCCGGAGCCGGGGGCGTGGCAGCCACCACGGGCTCCGGCACAGGCGTCGCCGGAGCCGTCGCCGCCACCACCACCGGATCCGCCGGGACAGCGGTCGCCGGGAGCGTGTGATCCGGCGCATCGTCATCCGCCTCGTCGATGATGAACACCGGCTGGTCGGACTGCCAGGCCTGGGCCAGGATGTCAGCCTGCGCATGGTCCCCGCCGGCCGGGGGGGTCGGCTCCGACAGGGTTGCCATGGCCGGGGCCTCCTCCACCCGGGCACCGACATCGGGGGTGCCACCCATGGCCAGGGTGGCGGCGGCCTCGGCCACGGCAGCGGCCTCAGCTGCAGCGGTAGCGGCCGCCGCCGCGGCCGCGGCCGCCGCCGCAGCCAAATCCTCGCTCCCGGTCAGGAGGGACTCATACTGATCATCCGGGTCTCCGCCATCACCGTAAAGCTCGGCATACACGTTGGGTTCCTGGTTCGGAAGAGCCGACTCACGTGCAGGAGCGGTGGCCGGGGGAGACTGGGCCGAAGCCAAGCCGGGAGGGGTGTCCTTGCTCTTGGGGCTGCTGGAGGCGGCCTTCTCCTTGGGAACGGGCTCCGAGGAGGACTGGCCATCGAAGGTACGGGCA